TTTTTCAGAATCTTCAAATTCTTTAAATGAAATCCATGATAATGGATACTCTTCTTCAATCAATAATTTTTTCACATAATCATCAATATCAGAATTATCATTTGTCCATCCACTCATGGCTAAAAAAAATCAATTAGCAAATTTAAAATATATATTTTAAATCTAAATCTAATAATAATAGTTGGTTTCAAATTACCCGATGTCTTATTTTTTTCCCTGAATATTATTAGAAGATGTATATTGTAAAGATTATAATTATGATAAAAGGCAAAATAAATAGATTACTTACATTTGATACCAATAATTAGCTTTCTGTAAATCTCTTGATGTTCCAATCCCATTGCGATAAGAATAACCAACTTGTGACATTCCGGGAATATGTCCCATCTCGGCAGATTGTTGATAATAAATAAATGCCTTATTTTCATCCTTTTCAATTCCTATTTCGATTTGATAACAACGTCCAAGGTTATAAATTGCGACAGCATTTTTCAACTCGGCAGATTTTTGATAATGAATGAATGCCTTATGTTCATCCCTTTCATTCCCTATTCCATATTCATAACAATATCCAAGACTACTTATTGCATTAGCATTTCCCATCGCGGCAGATTTTTGATAATGAATGAATGCCTTATGTTCATCCTTTTCAATCCCTATTCCATGATGATAACAGTGCGCAAGATTATAAATTCCATCAGCATTTCCCATCTCAGCAGATTTTTGATAATGAATGAATGCCTTATGTTCATCCTTTTCAATTCCTATTCCATGTTGATAACAATATCCAAGACTATTTATTGCACTGGCATTTCCCATATCGGCAGATTTTTGATAATGAACGAATGCCATATTTTCATCCCTTTCAACCCCAATTCCATTTTGATAACAATATCCAACTTCATACATTGCAGCGGCATTACCCATCTCTGCAGATTGTAGGTAATACACGAATTCCAGATATTCATCTTTCTTAACCCCAATACCATTTCGATAACAATTTCCAAGTAAATACATTCCACTAGCATTCCCTATCTCGGCAGATTTTTGATAATGAATGAATGCCTTATGTTCATCCTTTTCAATTCCTATTCCATGTCGATAACAATATCCAAGGTTATTTATTGCATCAGCATTTCCCATCTCGGCAGATTTTTTATAATGAATGAATGCCTTATGTTCATCCTTTTCAATCCCTATCCCATATTGATAACAATATCCAAGGTCACTTATTGCAGTAGCATTTCCCATCTCGGCAGATTTTTGATAATGAATGAATGCCTTTTGTTCATCTTTTTCAATCCCTATTCCATAATTATAACAATTACCAAGGTCATTTATTACATTGGCATTTCCCATCTCGGCAGATTTTTGGTAATGAATGAATGCCTTACGTTCATCTTTTTCAACCCCTATTCCGTGAAGATAACAATATCCAACGTTATATATTCCATCAGCATTTCCCATCTCAGCAGATTTTAGATAATAATTGAATGCCTTATGTTCATCCTTTTCAATCCCTATTCCATTTTCATAACAATATCCAAGGTCATTTAACTCCGTTGAATTTTTGTTTTCCATTTTGCTATTGAATGTGAAAAAAAACAAAAATACGAACCTGCATTTTAATATATATTTTTGAGTAGCACATAACCACATTAAGAAATTGAAATTACATATTACACGGTGTTACTATATAAATTGGTATAACAACGTACATTCGTTTAGTGGTGGCTCTGGCTGGTAAGCGTTCGGATGGTGGAATGTTATGGGAGGACAATGTCACGAAGAATAAACATATTAATGTCATGTCCCTTCGTTGATGTGAAACGAAATGTGACCTGACAGCCGGCACGTGACCTCAGGAATTCCAAATTTTGAAGGAAATTCGGCAGATTCGTCGAATTCGGCGAATAGAGAGAAAAGAAAAAATACGGCTGATAGTAGTAATCATAGCAATTAGTGTAATTCCAGTTATAAGGTTTATTCTGGCATGTAAAAATAAATAATGAATTAATCATAAATAAAGGTCTTCTGGCCCGCTTTACCTAAATAATAAAGTATATGAGTCGTATATATTATAAACTACATTCATTCATCTGACCACTCGCCAAATCTAACACGCCTCTTTCGATTCGTCCCACTAATTAAGTTGGTCGGTTACTCAATTGCCGCAGAACAATTGATCGACCGATTCTCGTCTATCAATATGTATAATGCTAGATCTCCACCTTGATGTAAGAATGGGAGAGGGAGTGGGTGTGGGGGAGTGGGGCGAAGAGAGAGATGAGCGAAAGGGAGATGAGCAAAGACAGATAGAGAGAAAGAAGGAGAGAAAATTTAAACTCCAGAAGTTGTCTGCTCTCTAAACTTTCTAATAATAAAGATAATGATTCGTCTTTTTGAATGTTTATTCATGATGTTCTCTCAACTGTGATAGTAACAGGTATGCAGTGGACACTGCGCAATCTCAAAGATATTAATATATAATGAAATTAGACTTCACTAAATTAAAAAATATAATTTATAGGAAATCATTGGTTTATTGATATCATCAACAAGAAAATTTAAGATCACACCTTTTTCAAAGCGCAATAATACCTTTTGATTTTAAAATTCTCCGATTTGAAACAATTTAAAGAACGTTAAATTATTCAAAAACGCTTTGCCATCCTATTATAATATTGTATAGATTGAAAATAACTCGAATGTTCTAAAAATTGTATCATAAAATTCTAATAAGGTGTCTATCTTCAAAGTTGAAAGTAAATCTTTTAAATTTACACACGCTTCACAAGCAATAAATATGTTAAAAAATTGAAACCATCGACTATATCAATATAAATTTTGTTTTCATCCAGACTTGGTTATAATATGGAGAGATTTTTGCGTTAAGATCTGTGTGACAATAATTCAGTGCAGTATTTTCTTCACAGACGATTAAACTACTTGTGTCGCGTGATAATGATATAAATAGTTATTCACAATCAGAGGTGGCTCGTAATACTGCCAATGAAATAAGCACTTTGATACCGTGCGAAAGAAGGAAGAATAAATAATTTGTTTACCAGTTAATAAACATAAGAACTCGAAATCATAGAGTATTTAATGTAATCCAAATTAAAAATAAATGTATAGTGAATTTCTTTGGTAAGCTTATATTATGAACTAAAGTAAGAGAAATTAATACTAAAAATGGGTAATAAAACTACAGTATAACAGAAATATGAATACAGCCGATTTTCTCTATACAGAACTATTATATAATTTTTAAAATTTTTAGTTTGTTCATTATAAAAGGCTCATTATAAAAAGAGTTGACCGTTGAAAAAGAGTAAACTGGATCGGACTTGGGGAAAATCGACAATACGGGATGTCAACTAACATTAAACTACTCCAAATCAACACTCTAAACAACCAAACTCTATCCAACCCTAATGTTGGAAGGCGGAAAGAGGCGTGGAGAGACTTGGTCCGAGTTATTAGGGCCAAATAGAGCTCTAGACTATGTCACGAAGCTCTTATTCGGAGTCACGGGATTATAAGATTTACTTATCGGGGGTAATTGAGCGAAACTTTAAAGGATTGGATAATAGACTCTTAATTGAGTCGAACTCTAGTGAGTTTTGCCAACTCCCAGTTAGTTCTACTTTATTTTTGACGCGAAGAGTCTTCGCTTTTATACTTTTTACAGGATTATCATAATACAGGTTTTTAGAAGTTACATTTAACAGTAAAGCTAATAAATCGAATATAGTGAAGAAAGTAAATAAAATAACTATATTTGCGAAATAGGCTAAAGCTACTAAATCTAATATTATGAACAAAGCAGCTAAATTTAATAACGTGACTAAAGTCACAAAATCGAATAAGTCTAATTAGACAGATTTATTATATAATTCCTATACCCCAGGTTAAGTAATATATACAGTATAACATATATAATAATAATAACGATAATAAAATAAAAATATAATAAAATAAAATAAAAATTTTACAGGGCCCCTCACACCGTACTTAATATGTAGCAATGACGAAACCTTGACGATTGATGAAACCCCCGACGATTGACGAAACCTATGACGAATTGATGAAACCTATGACGAATTGACGAAATTTATGACGAATTGACTAAACCCTTGATGAAACCAGCATAGTTAAAAATCAATTTATTGGTTAGTCAAATTAAGGTTTGTATGTGATCTAAACCAATAAAATTTAACCACAGATATAAGACGTGTGAAATATAATTTTAGTTTAAAGCAAAATTTGAATAGAAAAGTTATAACTTTGCTTTAAGTATTTATACATATGTTCGAAAATTTAATAATTATTGACTACTATTAAGCTTAAATATTTATTTTAATTCATAATTTAAGCTATGGTTACAAATAAAAGAATTTGCTTTAATTGTTTATCAAGAATAAGTCTTAAACATTGATAATTTTTATATAAGCGATAGAATAGTTTTTGAATATTTTATATTTATTGCAGATTAAAGTTTAATCTATTAATAATTTTTCAAATCTGTTTATTATGCTTAATTATTTATTTAATCTCAAGTAATTATTTTCATATTTGTCTTTATGCAATAAGTGCAGTTTTAATTAAATAGTTAAATAAAAACTGCAAATTGATCGTGTCTTGTTCCATCCATTCTGATATGTTTTGCAAAAACTGTTCATATTATTTAATATACCAGGAGATTCTGTATATGATTGACTAGATCAAATATCACCACCAAAGCTATTTGATTGACTTGAATCAATATTGTCAAGACTTCTTGATTGACTTGACACAGAATTACCAAAACTACTTGATGCGACATTATCTATTGATTTCAAAATTGTAAATTTTGTAAGTTATATATATATTTTAAAAATAATTAAAAATTTTTTTAACTTTATAATATAATTATTAGAAAACATCATATAATATTATACAAATATAGTTGTTAAGCATACCATTTTATCATTTAAAGAATGAGCAAAGAAAGTTATATCTAAATATTAAATTTATTAATTTATATACAATAAATAAAATTATTTAAAAAAATTATCAAATTTATTAATATATTACCTTTAGACTCATTTTCTAATTATTGGTTTTTTAATTCTAATTCTTCAATCAATTTTGTGATATTTTCATATTTTTCTTTATTCAAAGATATTGAGCCTTTTTACCTAAATAAGAGTGACCATTTTGTTTTTTTCCTTTTTTTTTGTTTATATTTTGCATTTTTGTTATGTTCAACTATTAAGCAATAGCACTTATTGCAAAGAATATTGCCAAAGTAAGTTGTAGACACTTTTCTAAATAAATTACACCATTTAGTGCCTTTTCAAAAGCCACTGGAGTAATAGTATGAAACAATAAATTTTGATCAGCTTCTAAACATGCAATACATAGTCCAAATACTCTTTTAATTGAAGGTATAGGTTTGTAATGTATTTGATCTGACAACGATTATATAACAAGAAAGAGTATAATAAAAAGAATATAAAATATGAAGGGTAGTTAATTAATAACATATCCCACTTTTAATAGTAACAAAAGTTTATAATATATTTTATTTAAATTATAATATATTAAATTGGCCAATCAGATTCATTTGAACTATGCTGATGAAACCTCCAATGATTGATGAAATATTAACAAGCTAATTTAGTTAGTAATTAAACAACAAGCTTCTATATAATGTCTTTGGACACAACTTTTTCCAACAATTACTTGAACCAAAATTTCCCATGGAAGAATAACACAACTTTTGTTGAAGAGTCGTGGCCTAATATAGTGGTTTGTCTAGAGGTCAACATTTGCTTGCGGGACTTCTCTATAGGTAACATTCGGCATGCAAGCAAAGAGAATTATTATACAAGATAACTGGCAGGAGGTGCCCTTGTATAAAAAATTCTTGGTAGTGAAGGGAATTCTGTGAATTACTCTTTTTTTACATTGATGAAGCTCTTAGACTGTACTTCCTTAAAAACACTGAGGAACAACAAAATAGCATGTTATTTTTTCAAGCTGCACTTTTTTTATTTGGTTAAATAATTTCTTTTACTTCTTTTCGCTCTCCTGTTGGTTTTCCAAAAATTTTGAAAAAAAGTGGGAAATTGGCTTATTCTCCAAAAGATCGGCATTGTTTATACTTTTCCAATTTGGATAAACTTAGTAGATTGCAGCTATGTGTTTTGTTTACTTGGATAATCACAATACTATGGTACAAGGAAGAGATTGACACCCCATTTAGAAGATACCCAATTTGAGTCAGTATACAGAATGAGTTCTAAAGTTAAAATGAAGGTTTTACAATTGAGATATAGTAATTAGTTGCATTTATTATATAATTTTTATCTTTATGCCTGGCATGGGCTATAATAGTATGTCCTGGCTAACTTTTTTCTTTTTCATCTTTGTTTATTTATGTTAGATTATTTAGAATTTGATTTCTTGTTTGTGTTTTTTTTTCTTGCTATGAGACACTTTTTTTTTAAATGTTTATGTCTTTCATAAACATAGCTTTATTTTTTTACTTTTATATCCTTTTTGACACAAAATTCATATATTGTGACATTTAAATTCATACATTGGGACATTTAAATTCATATATCGGAACATTTAAATTCATATATTGGGACATTTAAATTCATACATTAGAACAATTTAATTTAGATTAATGGATATAATTTAGGCGTACTACCGGTAGTACATTGTAGATATTGTGACACTTTTCAAAAGCAATTATCTAGTAATTTTAAAATTATAATTGTATTTTTAACAACTTTATAAAGTTTGTTAGGTACTTAACTTTGTAGAGCAAAACATTTAATAAGTCTAAATAGTGTTTCTGATTTTTTAGAATTTTTTTTTTAGTCTGAATATTGTAGTTTAAGCTAATTTTACATAGTATTTACTAGTTATCTTATAGAACATTTTTACTTATAAAATTTTTTTTTATTAATAAATCTATTTGAAAAATTTATAAAAATTATAAAGATATATTTGCTAATTTTAATTATAAAATTTTTTTTAATATTAGACTAATATATAAAAAATAATTTAACTTTAAAGTTTTTACTAGTAAGTACTATATAAAAATTATTTTAAATTTTATACTAAAAATAGATGTAATTTTTTAAAATTTAAAATAGTATAACTTAAGATAAATTAATTCAATATTAATAAATTTTACAACTTTAATTAAAAAATTTAAAAAATTTATTTAATAAAAAA